TCCTGCCTGCCTGCCCCGTGTGTCTTCCTCAAGTGGGGGAAGGGGTTAAATCTTCTGATGGGGGCAAAGGAGCAAAAGGCACCCCCGCTTTCCCTGGATCGTGTGTTTTTTTTCTTCTGGTACTAGAGTGAAATGTTCGTCTCCGTCTTCGCTTCATCCACCGAGATGGGCTGGGCGGCCCTCTTGATTTCGTCCTCCCACATACTGGCACTGGGCCTCTTTTTCCCAGAGGTTGTTGCCTTGCTTGTCCCCTTCCTCTAAAAGCCGATATTTCCCAGCTAGGAGCTCTTTCAAACAAGGGCAGCCAAATTATGCGTGCAGCCACACCGGATTAGTAACCCCGCCATGTCTTCATCAGCCTGGCCCTGGGATTACTTGGGGTGACTAATCATAGCCATAACAATAACAACAACAATAATAATGATAATAAAGTTGGAAGGGACCTTGGAGGTCATCTAGTCCAACCCCCTGCTCAGGCAGGAAACCCTACAGCACCATTTCAGACAAATGGCTGTCCAGTCTCTTCTTAAAAACTTCCAGTGTTGGAGCATTCACCGCTTCTGGAGGCAGGTGGTTCCACTGGTTAATTGTTCTAACTGTCAGGAAGTTTCTCCTTAGTTCTAGGTTGCTTCTCTCCTTGGTCAGTTTCCATCCATTGCTTCTTGTCCTGCCTTCAGGTGCTTTGGAGAATGGCTTGACTCCCTCTTCTTTGGGGCAGCCCCTGAGATACTGGAAGACTGCTATCCTGTCCCCCCTCGTCCTTCTCTTCATTAAACTAGATATACCCAGTTCCAGCAACCGTTCCTTATATGTTTTAGCCTCCAGACCCCTAATCATCTTTGTTTCTCTTCTCTGCACTCTTTTTAGCGTCTCAGCATCTTTTTTTACATCGTGGTGACCCAAACTGGATGCAGTATTCCAAGTGTGGCCTTACCAAGGCCTTGTAAAGCGGTATTAACAGTTCATGTGATCTTGATTTAACACTTCACGTGATCTTGATCTGGTATTTGCTGGCCGAGCAAACAGACGTGGGCAGATGATAATAATAATAATAATAATAATAATAATAATTATTATTATTATTATTATTATTATTATTATTATTATTATATAATAAAGTTGGAAGGGACCTTGGAGGTCATCTAGTCCAACCCCCTGCTCAGGCAGGAAACCCTACACCATTTCAGACAAATGGCTGTCCAGTCTCTTCTTAGAAACTTCCAGTGTTGGAGCATTCACTGCTTCTGGAGGCAGGTGGTTCCACTGGTTAATTGTTCTCACTGTCAGGAAGTTTCTCCTTAGTTCTAGATGATCCAAGGCGGAGCTGCCTTTTACTATCATTCTGCTCCTTGGAAAGTTTCTGGACAGGCTGTTCCGAATTTCTCACCGGCCGCCTTAGCCACTTGACAAAAGGGATTAATCGGGTGAGAAACGAGGAATCGGCTCCCAGGCAGGGCCGGGATGGCTAATGCTTGGGGAATGTGGCCGGAGGAGTTGGAGGCGTGGATTTAAGTTTGAGGATCGTTTTGTCACAGGGTGGCCAAATGTAGAGATAAGGTCCCTCATGTCCTGCTGTTGGCACCGGGGAGGAAGAATAAGCTGTGGGGTCTCCGTGGGAGGCGCGGGGGGGTGTATTTTGGCCTGGTGATTGCCAGGAAGAGACGGGGAGGGGGAGCCGGACGCCCGGCCACAAAGGCCAGGACAGAGAGTCCCCAGGGTGTTTTTCCTCCAAAGGGCAACTGGACTTTTTTTTTTTTTTGCTTGCTTGAAAACGTTTCGCTTCTCATCCCAGAAGCTTCCTCACTTCTGACTGAACTGAACCGAGTGAACTTCAGTCAGAACCGAAGAAGCTTCTTGGATGAGAAGTGAAATGTTTTCAAGGAGAAAAAAAAAAACAACCCAAGATACTCCAGTTGCCTTTTGGGGGGGAAAAACAAATGAAACAAACACCTTGGGGACAACCAAGACCTGGATGATTGAGAATCTCCCTAGACATTTGGCCAGGATAGAGCAGCGCAAGCCAAGGGGCAGAGCAGCGGTAAAACTCCAGCAGGGGAATATTTAGAATAGACTAGAATAGAATAGAATAGAATATGGAAAGAATAAAAATAGAATAGAATAGAATAGAATAGAATAGAATAGAATAGAATAGAATAGAATAGAATAGAATATGGAAAGAATAGAATAGAATATGGAAAGAATAGAATAAAATATGGAAAGAATAGAATAGAATAGAATATGGAAAGAATAGAATATATAATAGAAAATAGAATAGAATAGAATATGGAAAGAATAGAATATGGAAAGAATAGAATATGGATAGAATAGAATATATAATAGAAAATAGAATAGAATAGGCTGGAACCTTGGAGGTCTTCTAGTCCAGCCCCGTTTGAGCTTGAGAACCTACACCATCTCAGACAAGTGACTGTCCAGTCTCTTCTTTAAAAACCTCCAGTGATGGAGCGCCCACGATTTCTGGAGGCAAGCTGTTCCACTGGTTAATTATCCTCACTGTCAGGAAGTTTTTCCTTAATTCCAGGTTGCTTCTCTCTTTGATCAGTTTCCAGTCATTGTTTCTCATCCTTCCCTCTGGTGCTCTGGTGAACAGCCTGACCCCCTCTTCTTTGTGGCAGCCCCTCAGATACTGGAATACTGCTATCATGTCTCTCCTAATAATAATGAAATAAATGAATGAATGAAATGAAATGAATAAAGTGAAAAGAATCCACCACCACCACCATCCCAGGCATGAGTAGGCAGGCTAAGTGGGGTTGAGCACGCCCTCCATAGCCAACAAGGGCACCCAGGGTGCTTCACCTTTCCCCCAAGGTATTCTTGGCGCATCCTGGTCCCCTTTCACCCCCCTTGGACCTGGAAAGCCACATCCAGTGTCGTCTCTGTGGTCTTCAGCCACCCGCTGTGTGGCTGTCCTTGTGGATTGCCTGGCAAAGCCTTTTCTCCAAAACTGGTTAAAGTTTTGGTCCCCACATTGTAAAAAAGAAGTTGAGGCTCGAGAAAAAGTGCAGAGAAGAGCAACAAAGATGATTAGAGTACTGGAGGCTAAAACATAGATTGCAGGACCTGGGCTATAGTGAAGAGAAAGACCAGGGCAGACATGATAGCAGTCTTCCAATATTTGAGGGGCTGCCACAGAGGAGGGGGAGTCAACCTACTTTCCAAAGCAACTGAAGGCCAGACAAGGAATAACAGATGGAAACGGATCAAGGAGAGATTCAGCCTAGAAATAAGGAGAATATTTCCTGACAGTGGGAACAATCAACCAATGGGACAGAAGTTGCCTTCAGATGTGGGGGCTTCATCACTGGAGGCTTCCAAAAAGAGATGGTGTAGGACAGGGGTCTTCCAACTTGGCCCTTTTATGACTTGTGAACTTCAACTCCCAGAATTCCTCAGCCAGCGTGCACGCTGGCTGAGGAATTCTGGGAGTTGAAGTCCACAAGTCATAAAAGGGCCAACTATGAAGGCCCCTGGTGTAGGATGTCCTACTTGGGTGGGTGGGGGTTGGACTAGATGACCTACAAGGTCCCTTCCAACTCTTAAGATATCGCTCCCCTTGTTTCCCACCGGC